CTCCTTTTACACCACCGTCCTCAATCCACCGTCGAACTGTATAAATTACATTTAGACATACAAACAATCCGACATTAACATTACATAAACACAGTTTAAATGCAAATATGCACAATGACAGATTTATGCGTAACGTACCTCACTGGCTGCACACATCCGAGAGGGAATGAGTCCACTTGAAACACGATCAAAGATGATCACTTTAACTTGTACCGTAACACTTTAACTTTTAGTTTACTTTACCACTTTGAGTGACTTAAGTGGCTTCACGTATCATCCTGCTGTCACTGTCACTGTGCCACAGTCAAACACGTCCCAGTGCAACAAAGCACGCAACAATAGTTCCCCCCTTTTATACAAAACAAAAACCCATACTGACATAAACAAACCGTACAAAACAACAACATATAAACAAGCATACTAAATAATGACATGAATAACCTTTATGGCAGTTAAACAAACTTAGGATAAAGGTTGAGTCCTCAAAGGACTAAAAGGGCAGCAAACACACTCACAAACACACTCACTCTCACATATATTTAAAATATTAAAAAAATTAGCATTGAATCACACAAATTGTGCAAATATACTGCTAAAACATTTGAAATGAATGCTTTTCACCTTGAAGCTGCAGAAGTTAACAAATTGAACTCAGTAGTTACAAGTTAGCCTGTGTTTAGCAATGAACTATACACTACAGAGTTTTATTGTTTTACAAAGTTCAGTGCAGTTTTGACTAACATGTGGATGAATAGATAAAAAGTGAATTATGAGATGAACTAATGAAGCTTGAAAATCAGCTTTTTCCGTCTTCTTACCAGTACGTTCATTCTCTCGGCTGCTGCAGTGGCAACACTTAGCTTCCTCTCATCTTCCTCCCTCAATCACACCAAGCCTGTGACAGATGGAAGATATGTTTATATAAACACCAAAATGACATGGAACCATCTAATATTTTACTGCTAATTAGTAACAGTTAACACAGCTTAGCCTACAGCTTTCTACACCCGGTCCAATCTAAGTATTAACAGCTTTATTAATCTTTATGAGACTAATTAAAGTTATAAAGTGTGGAATACAGTATATGCAGACTGAATACATATATTCATGATAAAAACACAAAATGCAGGAAAAAAAACAACTTATTTTAAACTTTTTAAATATAAACAACTGGAAAACTTGCAGACAAATGCAATTTTTGAGCTCGACTGTTTTACCTGAAGGTGGCGCTGGCAAGCTGCTCCTCTCTAACAGCCAGCTGATTCCGGATCTCGGTCACCTCAGCCTGCAGCATTGCATTCTGGTCCTGGCTTTGGATAATGAAGTCCTCCAGGCGCTTTGCCATGTCAAGCTCACGCTCTGTCATAAATGTTAAATACTTCAAGAGTTACACAAAACTTTAAAACTAACAACCAAACTGGACTCATGTCTTTTCTGTCCTACCTGGTCCCTCTGATAGATGATGTCTACCAGAAGGCCATGGAGCACAGCCAATCGTAGAGGCAGATCCACATAGCCATCAAAGGAAGACATTAGGATTTCTGTGTCTAGATTTGACACCGTTTGTAGAAAACCTCTCATTCCATCCCAGTGCTGCTGCAGGAATTCGTTCATGAAGCTCATGTACTCCTCCTTCTCTCCAAACCTGAATCAGAACAAAAGATTTAATTTACTGAAGCAACTTAAGGTAAACTAAGTATATTTTTCATTCTCTATAGTTGCTGCAGCTGCTGACTCGGTTTCGAGTCCACATCGTTGGCTGAGAAAGACACACACACACACACACACACACACACACACACACACACACACACACACACACACATTTCATCAGTTAACTGGAAGTGTAGTGCTTATACCTTTTTGCTCCAGATGTAATGAATTTTAGTGAACTATGGGGAGTTGTTGAGTGGCGTGTTAGTGTGTACAGATATCAAATATACTCAACAGTCAGGACAATGATATTTTCTATATACTTTAGTAGAAAAACAGGATGCTATTTTACATTCAAGCAGACAGCAAACGATTGTTGAATTACTTCAATAACTATGTAAAGATAACTTTGTCAGGCAAGCTGTCTATGGTGAGTATGTACTTAAATCTGGTATTAAAAGTGATGAGTTGATTTTAAGATGACTTCAACTTCTTGTGTTCCCTTAAAGTTAATAAGAAAACTTGATATTAACAGGAGGTTGTTTTTTTCCCCAATACGTACCCATGTGTGTATACATGAAAAATACAGTGCAAAGCATTTGAAGTTACACAAAACATTCTGTCTTCTGGTTTAAAGTTTCTATGACAACTTGTGTTTCGACTATTGTTTCATTACAAACGCGCATTCAATTATTTTTTGTATTATTAACACTGACAGTTTTATGAACACATTTGATGTTTTTGTTTTCCAGGTCCTACCTAGTTACCTAGTTGATGGTCTTTGTGATCAGTATCATCAGCACAGTGTTCTGTGGTCACCTGGAAAAAACTGAACTAGCAGGAGTTTCTTAAGCAGCCACTAGAGAATCTGAGGAGAGATGCTTTTAAGCCCTATCTGTGTTCATACTGACATCACATTTGATGTTATTGACTTGTACATTATAAGTTTGCCTTTGAATTTTTATTATTGATTAATAATGTTGTGTCAATTGCAGGTGGTTAATGTCATTGGTATTTCCATTGGCACTGGTTTGTCATCCACTAAAACTGAAACCTTCATATCTGCGTTAGGTTGTCCTGTCCCCTGAAAAAAGCAGCTCAACAATGAGCTTTTGTATCATGTTTGTTTTCTTGGCCTGTTCATATCTTTGCTTAGTAGCGTGATCGGTGACGTTCAACTCCACTTGTTTATCTACCTGTTTCATGCAGACGTATGGGAGCCGTAACTTGAAGCGCGTGGGTGTGATTCTGCTGCTGGCCTGTTTCCCCTGCTGGGCTATCCTCATCAACACTGAACCTCTCCTACTTGCTGTCAAACAGAGCCCAGAGGTTGCCAGGTCAATCCCAATGTGTTTTTTGTCTTCATAGGAGCAGAGTGGAGGGGAGGATGGAGTCTGTGAATGATAGATAGATAGATAGATATATACTTTATTCATCCCCAGGGGGAAATTTGTATGTTACAGCAGCAAGACATACAAAGTAAGCAAAGTAACAGAGTAACCAAAGATATTAAGTATTAAAAAATGCACAATATATACAATAAAATATAATCGTGTTAAATTAACTAACTAGGTAAAAAACAGTAGTGCAAAACTCAACCACCAGCAAACAACAGTGTAGCAGTGTGTAGTTATGTGGATAAACAGGTTTGGAAGTGTTTGAAGAGACGCCCAAGGTAACCAGTTATTTCAGTTCACCTAAACCAAAACGTTCCGTGGACACTGGCGATGTATGGCTTAATATATAAATACCTGAATGACTGGACACTTCATCTAGAGCAGAGGTCTTCAACAGGGGGTCCGTGACCCCAAGGGGGTCCGCGAAACTTTTGGTTGATTAGACAATTTTTTATTTTTTTTTCTAAACATGAATCTGTCCATTATTTTAATAGTTCAGTAATGTATGCAAGATAACAGGTGTGTTTATGCATGGCAGTGGCACTAATAGGCCATCACTCACACTTTCGTTTCCACATTTATGTTTAAAATGAAAACATCAATTTGAATAGCTTGTATGCATGGTATGCAAGTCTGTCAGTTGGATTTTGCTCCTCGGCCTTTGCGAGTGACATAACAGACTCCGGAAATATTTTTTGTTTGAATATGTTCAGATACGTAACTTCCTTGTTCTCTCAGTGACAGCATTTTTGGATTTTTACATGACATTCAAACAACAACAAATGGACACTCACAGCCAGGAGATTACAGCCTGCTTCATTTTAATTAAAGTACGAATTACTCATTCAAGCCTAAGGCAAATATTTTGCAGTGGAGTTACATGTTTTCACTGTAATACTTTGCAGATGCTGTTTGCGTGAGTGCGTGCAAGCATTAAATTGTGATTGCTTGAAATGGGCTGTGTTATGTTCACACTTTCACAGCTGTAAAGAGAAACATAATGCAAATCTGTTTCAGTCCTGAAGTCTGTAACCCTGAAGTGATGTCTGGGACCAGGATGAGATGAGTTTCCACTTGTTGTCAAACATTTTTAAACCTCATATTTCCTGCAAATAAGCCGAGCTAAACTCAGAATTTGTATCAGTTCCATGAAACACCCATTGTTGTTTTACTAACATGTACAACTGCTTGTAATATGTAAAACAAGAGCTTATACTACATATGAAATACAAAGTAGAGCTATGGCACACACTGGACTGGACTGGTGACTGGACTTGCATGTCATTATGCAGTGGTGCAATATTACTAAGTACATTTACTCAATAACTGTATTTAGTTATGAATTTAAAAGGTACTTGAGTATTTACATTTTATGCTACATTAATCTTCTACTCTACATTCAGGAGGCAAATATTGTACTTTTTACTCTACAACATTTATTTGATAACTTTAGTTAAAGTATAAATCAACAAATACATTATATGTTCTTGTAGATAGACCCAGCACAGCAGTATGATGTAATTGAAATTAGCTCCACTTTTGCTGCTACACTGAAGTGATGTGCATGTTAATGCATCACTAATTATAATCCAATATATCTGAAATGGGCCATACTGTTAAGAGTACTTGTACTCCAAGTATATTTTGATGCTAATACTTTTGTACTTTTACTAAAGTAGTGTTTTGAATGCAGGACTTCTACTTGCAACAGAGTATTTCTACACTGTGGTATTCCTACGTCTATCTAAGTAAATGATCTGAGTACATCTTCAACTACTTTCATAGGCATTGTGCTGCACTCGGATGCCGGACAATCTCTTCAAACGACGAGTCTAAGTAAACTGAAGCTCATAATGTGCACTTGAATGCAACATTAGGTCTTCCCAATGGCAGTGACGCCCCAAAAATAGCTGCACGAGGTGGTTGGCTGGGACCTATATCCGTGACGTTCAGGGTCCACGTGTGTAACCTTTCCTATGCTCGGTTATCGGTCACAAATTGAACCAACCGCGTCTCACCTTGTCTGTCACTGTGAAAGGGAAATCAGCAGTAACGAAAAATTGGACCAACCCGTCTGTTGAGAACACACCGCAGCCATGGATGTTTCCAGTAAAACACCAAATCAATATTCCGAAGGAGTGAAAGCAGATGAAGCGCCTTGCTGTGTTCAGGGACCCCGAGACTGTTGTCTGAAGAAACTACGTGATTTAATTCTGCCCGATTTTCGAAAAGAGCTGGTTCAACTTGGCAAACTGGCTGGACCGGTGGTAAGACTCTTCTACTGCGTGTGTTTGATGCTTGAAATTAACTTATAATGAAACATTGACGGATATTCGAGTGCTGACTTTTAACTTGGAATTAAATGTTCCAAGTTAAATGAATGTCTTCATGTTTCTTACACTTGCTGTGCATTGTGTGAGCATTAGCAATTCGTTTTTTGTAACTTTAAGAAGAGACTTAACTTAGTGAGCATCTCAGGGTTTGAGGGGCTACAAGGATGTGTTAAATTACAGTAGATCATAAACTGTTATTAATTGGAGACCTGGTGTTATACTCTATTACTATTATTGCATACAAAATATGAGGAATACTCTCCCGTAACCCTGACTAAATTTATTTTAGGGGCACAAGATGGTGATTTACTTGAAAGGAAAGTTTTCATTGTGTTTTTCTTTTTCATTATGCATTGCAATAGCTTGTTTAAAGTGATCGTATACCAAACACCTAATTAATGTTGATAATGTATACTAGATAATGTAGCGATGATAATACATTGATTTTTTTTTTTAGATATGGCAGTGCGGTGTTCTAAATAGCAACATTCATTACAACTAAAAGATACTTGACTTTGACTTGCCCAAAAATACTTGTGAGCATCTCTGCTATATAAATATATATGAAATAAACCCAGACCCCTCTACAAGATGGGGGGCTTTAAGAATATGTAGGCCAGACAATACAGGTGTCATTTAAGGTTCCTTTTAATTCCAGTTTGTATTGTGGTTTTAGTGCGGCTTACAGTTTTGTCAAACATATTTGCAATAACCAAATTACCACAAACAAAACATGGGGAACCTGGAGTCTACTGGCTCCTTGAGGGTCTGGAGTCCATGAACACTTGCTCCCAGATAGAAGGCAAAAGTTAAAACATGAGCCTCATCATTGTCTAAATACTTAAAGGCTGCACTCTCAGTGTACCTTGTACTGTATGATTACTTATTTATTTATAGGCGAACTCACTCGCTTGTTTTCATGTTTCAATGTGCAGGAATGTATTGGAGTTGCTTGTGTTTTTAGTTTGTCATAGATCATTACATTGTTAAATAAAACGCAGTAATCCACCTAACCAATCGAATACCAATCTACAACCAATGGTATTTAGTTCATTATTTAGAATATTTATCAAATTGTTACACTTCTCATGTAAAATTGCTTCCAAAGATGGTGAGAACCACAACAACACATGAGCCCTTATATAGGCTATTTGTTATTTTGAATGCGGTAAGGCTAACTATCTATTAGGTCTTTACTCACTGAAATTGTCTATGGTACCTCATGTTTTTATTTATTTTTATATCAATGAATCTGCCATTCATATAAACAAGAAAATGAAGAAGGGCATTGTGTTTGTCTTTGTACTTCAGGTCATTTCCCAGCTGATGGTCTTCATGATCAGTTTCGTCAGCACTGTCTTCTGTGGTCATCTGGGGAAAACTGAACTAGCAGGAGTAGCATTATCAATAGCGGTGAGGAGACTTTCTGGAGTCCTAACTGTGTTTGGACTGGTATCCCCCTTACAGTACTGGCGTCTGAATTATCATTTAATATATATGTTTTTTTCCCTGAGTTATGTATTTTTATTAACGTTTTTTTTTTCGCAGGTGGTCAATGTCACTGGTATTTCCATTGGAACTGGATTATCGTTGACTTGTGATACCCTCATATCTCAGGTAGGGTCACCAGATGTTGCTCTTTCACTTAATTTGATCAAGATGGACACAACTGTTACTGCTGGGTTCCCAGGTTTTCCTGGGGTCCCCTTTAAAACAACTTAACAATGAGCTTTCGTATCATGTTAGTTTTCTTTGACCCATCACACCCGTGGTCATTGGTGTGATTTGGTGTTTTCTAACTCTGCTTATTTGGGTATCCGTCTACCTGTTTCATGCAGACGTATGGGAGCGGTAACTTGAAGCGCGTGGGTGTGATTCTCCAGAGGGGGATTCTGATTCTGCTGCTGGCCTGTTTCCCCTGCTGGGCTATCCTCATCAACACTGAACCTCTCCTACTTGCTGTCAAACAGAGCCCAGAGATTGCCAGGTGAGCCATTATTCAATCCCCTAAACAATATACACCTTCAGCATCTTTCCCTTTAGTAACTCTGCTGTACGTGTGGCAGGGTTTCCACGTGTCCTGGAAAACCTGGAAAACAGTTGACCACTTTTCCTGTTCTGGAAAACACTTGGAACATTTGAGAAAAGTCCTTGAAAATCTTGTATTGTCCTGGAAAATTGTTCCAGAATTCTCATATTTTCCAATGAGCTACAGGCTATCAGAGTTCCCCAAAATGGATAATATTGCCATCTTAAAGGGCCAAATTATGTTCCGGATCATATTAACATTCAAATGGTAGTTTATGGATGAGAGTATTTTCGTTCGGCATCTCATTTAGTGACACTGCTGGGCATGTGGGCTTATCTAGACTGACAAACTGTTGTGGAATGAATGTCACATCTTAACACTGTCTACATTAAAGCTGCATTAAATTAAATGTTTCACCACACAGGGGCAGCAGAACAAAACTATAAGCACAACTCTGTCAGCTAAGTATGGTTATAGTGGCAAATTGTTGCTTATTTACACATCCTGGAGACACAAGCAACTATAGCTTTCATTTCACCTAGCCACCTGATTAATTAAAGTCCAATATTCACGCTCCTTTTAGCTCTGGTTTAATCTCCACCAACTCCTGAAGGAAATATCTTGTTTTTTAGCTGCTAAATGCTCATCTATGTTCATTCTCTAATTATGTTCAGTTTTTAAAGAAATATAGTTATAGTTATATTCATGATTTAGATCCAGACCCAACATTGTCACCAGAGGATGAATCCCAATGAATCATAACCTCCTATTTTATATATACATTATATGTACAGTCATATGTTTCAACCTCACAATCACATTTGTTTTTTACCTTTCTGCATGAAGTCTCGCCCAGCTGTATGTGATGATCTTCATGCCTGCCCTGCCGGTGAGTTTGGTGCATTCTAAACTCTTTGTATGAAGATAATGATACAATGCATACAGAGGATTTTGCTCGATTATTACTCTCAAGGTCAAATTTGCCAACAGAATGCCAAAGTGACACTGATTACATTTTCTATTTTATTTTTCAGGCTGCTTTTATGTACCAGCTGCAAGGGAGGTATCTTCAAAATCAGGTGCAGCAATACAAACCCACTGATGTTAAAGTTTATGGCTGGACCAAAGTTATTAAAAATGATATTAATACCAGGTGTTGTGGTTTACAGGGAATTATATGGCCTCAGGTTGTGACTGGAGCAATTGCAAATATCCTCAACGCAATCATCAACTACGTTTTCCTCTTCCGTCTGGAGTTGGGCGTTGCGTGAGTTTTCCAACATCATTATTTTGTAGTAGAGCTTAACACTCAATTGTGCCATTTAGAAACACTCTGATGTCTATTCACTGATGCATGCTTATAATGATGAACATGCCACATCACATAAGTAAGTTTCATTGAATATGCTACAGTATATACACTAGGGTTGGATGGTTAATCAAATTTAATTTTCAAATATGATTTTGGCTTGTGACGCTTATATGCGCACCCCACCTTTCCTTTACAGCTGTGCTCTGTTGGTCGTTCTCGCTGAGTTACTTAAGGGAATATATTGAATATAGTTCACCAAAATGTTGAATATATGTTCAGGACTTTTCACTAGGTTGGAGCAGTAAACTGCAACATAGTTGATCTTATTTATTATGACTCCATACCAGCGACTGCATTATATTTTCAGGTTGTCCATCCGTCCATACCATTCTTATGTTTTTCAGTAATATATGTTTTACAAATTTAATCAACCAGCTGTCCAATTCAACAATTAATATTATTTGTCAGTTTCACTAATGTAGTGTTTATTACCAGATTGTTGTATTGGATGACATTGTACAGAGACATCCATTTATCTTGTCACTCAGTGTGTTATTATTCAGTAACATATTTTATTTTAATCCGAATGACCATCTGAACACATAATGTATATAAAGTACAGTTTCATAACCATGAACCATGAACAGCTGTCAACAAAATGTGAATATGATTCTCATTTCTTCTTTGGTCTAAATCTGCTGTTTCTTTCTTCTTGAAGTGGATCTGCTGCAGCTAATGCTATCTCACAGTATGTGCTGGCTGTGGTCTTATACATCTACATCTGCTGCAGGGGTCTGCATAAGGCCACATGGGGAGGTCCGTTGTAATTTATATAGATTTTTCTTCTTATTGGGTTGACTGCATTCATTATCTTATTCTATCCAGTAATTTCATTCTCTTTCATCATTCAAGCCTCTGGTATTTTGCAACTTCTTTATTGGTTGTCTATTATGAACTTTCCAGTTCTTAATGTTTGACAAGATAAAGTTGCACTCTGTAACTGTTTAACGTAGTGGGCCAGAGTGGTTAATGGGATGACGCAGCTGGCCCGAGTTAGGATTTACTTTTAAGTAAGGATGTTGTATAAGACTAGCAATAATTTGCCAATAGTACATCCATTCTGACCTAACTTAACACTTGTGTATAAACTGACTGAACCTTTTCAACCTGAGCTCTGTTTAGCTTTAAGCCCACTTTTCAGGGTTCGTACGGTCATGGAATTCTAAAATGGTTATTTCCAGGCCTGGAAAAGTGCTTGAAAAAAATAAAATCCCAAAAGTTTTGGAAAAGTCATGGAAATGTTTTTATATTCATATTTTCATGTCGTTAATTTACGCTGAGTTGCCAGCCAGCATTTCTCAGATTGGAGTGAGACGAGGAGAAAATGTGATTTCGTGATCTTCGCAATAGAACATCTTTGATGTGTCGAGTCTCAGCCAATCAGCGTTAAGATGTCTACAGCGTCTTCATTTCCCTCCGTTTAAGTTACGTTATGTTCCGTTATCGTTCAGACTTGCTGGGTTAAGTTAACGTCCACTGCATGCGGAACTTTATCGACTTTTAACGTTCATCATTATCGCGATTTAGAAGGAAAAAACGTAACGCGATGAAACATGCAGCCCCCTGTGTTCCGGTTCAGTTCACGCGGTCACTCATTAACGTTAAACCGGAACACCGGCACATCTGGTTGCAGGTTGTTTTTTTAACTCAAAGTAGAATGAGGATGATTTCGTGGTCAGAATAACTTTAATGACCACGAAACATGGGGCCCAGATACTGATGAGATGAGGTCAAAGAGCTTCAGGAAGAGGAGGCTGTCTGTAGCGCAGCTTGACGCAGGGCTGGAGTGGAGTGAGTGGAGCTGGGTCTGGATAAAGGTGGACAGATGTGAAGGGAGAGCAGTACAGCTTCCTGCTGTCACAGTATTTTAAATACATTGATAAGGCAGGGTATACTAAATGCAGCCTCTGCTCCAAGGAGATAAACTATAGCAACAAGGGCTCGCATGCCCTCTCATCACACTTTACACACTGTTCACTGTAATGACCACAGCCAGTGTACTAACAGTCCCACGTTGCTCTCAATAACCTATAATAGTAATGAGAGGGTTAAGGTGCCTGTACCTTCATTTCAGCAGGTTGCTAATGCAGAGGTGTGTATAGATCACAGCTATTATTTTACTCTTGATAAGTTACCTTAGCCAGAGTAGATTATCATTTTCATTTAAATAATTGAACTGGATTGAATGCATATTAATTGCAAATAGAAGATAGGCCACAATTCTAACAGCTGTACAGTAACAGTGGAAGTTAATATTAAGCCCTATAGTAACAGGGTTCAATGAAAAAATTGCACTACAAAAGGGAAAGCAATATGTGCACTAGCTGGATGCTACTACCTACTAAAGCTCTTATTGATGTGTCAGTGTTATGAATGCCTGTCAACCAGAGTATATTTATAAATGTTTATTCTTGTAATCAAACTATTGTCTCTCATTCGTTTGTGTCATTTGAAGTTATACTATATGCTTTGGAATTCTCATTGTTACTTTAAATACTACATTTTCTCACTTTTTCATGTATACACTGAGATTTCACAAAATGTTTGGTCATGGAAATTTGGTTTAAAGTCATGGAAAAGTTATGGAAATCCATTGGTCAAAATGTGTATGAACCCTGACTTTTACAAATTCTAAAATACACTTGCAATATTTGAATCATTTCGAATAATATACTCATTCAGATAGATTTTGTCTTTTGTCACTTCGGTCTTTGTCCATCCTTTTTTTTGAATTGTGATTTTAGCATAACCAACTGCTCACAGGAGTTAGCTCTAACATGATATAAGAAATGAAAAGATACCCAACAGCTTAATGTAAAGACATCCGTCCCACAGGTTGGTCACTGGACTGTCTGCAGGAATGGGGACCCTTCATTAAGCTGGCCATCCCCAGTATGCTCATGCTTTGTCTGGAGTGGTGGATGTTTGAAATAGGAGGATTCCTGGCCGGATTGATTAGTGAGGTTGAGCTGGGAGCTCAGTCCATAGTTTATGAGCTGGCGGTTGTAGCTTACATGGTAAGTCCTCTATATGTTTTGCCCTACCAATAATTATGTATTCATTTTAAAGGCTAACCCTCTGCTTGTGTGTTGCTCACTGCTCTAATGAAATTATAGTTAAAGGGATAGTTTGCATCTTTTGAAGTAGGGTTGTATGTTGGTCTTATCCATAGTCAATGTATACAATAGATGGCGGTCGACACGCCCCCAATCTGGAGAAGCGGACAAGAGTACCGTAACGGGAGCAAAGCAACGTACTGATGTGGATGGGGGCAGCAGCACAACATATTTTAGCCACATGAAAAAGACCCACCTCAAAAAATCTGTTCAATTGTATGCTATATTAAAGAAAATTTATTGCATGATGTAAAGTTTATGTTAATTCAGATTTTTATTACTGGTTTTGTGAATGGAGTCTGGTGGCTTTGAAGAGAGTATAGATAACCGCTTCAGTGTCCCAATGTAAAGGGCGGTCTGATGTCAAGATAAAGCCCTGAAAATATTCTTCCTTGCTGGTACTCTTGTCTTCTCCTTTTATTACTCCAGAAAATCCAAACTATCTCTTTTAGGAAAAGTAGCTTTAAATACATTTTTGCCCATTACTTTCCATAGTTCCCATTAGGACTGTCTGCTGCTGCCAGTGTACGTGTTGGGAATGCTCTTGGTGCAGGAAACATAGAGCAGGCCAAGTTGTCTTCCAAAATCCCCATCATTTGTGCACGTAAGACCCAATGCAAACTGTGCAGTACATGTTGCCTGAATAACCTTTTCACTTGAGCGGTAGTGATAGTTTAGTGGCCATTTGTATTAAAAATATATTTGACATCATTCACATCTCATTAACACAAAAAGTCCTCTTAACACTACCAGCAATGCAGACATGTCATACAAGACATTGAAAACTATACATAGTAATACATTAGAACTGTATGCCAATCAACTGAAAATACAGTGTTAATACATAAATGTACTAAAGCAATACAGAGTAAAAACAAGAGATACTTGATGGAGTGATCAAGCGGTCTACTGGGTCATTATGGTCCACTAGCTCTTTTTCTGGGCCTTATCGCCACTCCGGCTGTATATGTCAGCTCAACGTAGTCTGGACTGAATCTCATGAATGCATTTTGTTTGAATTGATGTTAGGTCTGAACGTTCTTTTCAAGACTTGCCATGTAATTCACAGAATGGCCCGAGGGAGGAATTTAATGTATAAACTAAACAGATTTTCTCACACTTGAACCATTCCATTTGCAATATTCCACTTTCTTGTGTTCACCTCTTCCCCTGG